AATTAGCTGCTGATGGGGAAAATGATCCTTACTCTTCTCAACTCAAAAGAAACAATGCCGTATTGTATGGAGCTCCTCACACGGCTTCCCTAGTTAAAAATTCATTACCAAAATCATATCTGATAATATTCTTAGCACTAGTAAAAGCCGGTAAATTTTGCCGTTCGTTATATCAGTGGAAGGTATATAAAAAGTGCAATAGCCAATTACAAACTTTTTCTCCTTTCTCCCCTTTTACCAGGCCCAACTCTTTTTCTTTGGCTTCTTTTTCTTGTTGGGAAAGGTTTTTATAAGAAGTAATTATCTGATTAGCCTTGCCCGTATTAGCAAACTCATCTTTAAATTTAGAATAGCCAAAAGCGGTGGCCATATTATATAATTCGGGATAATTAGCATTGCCGGTAAATTGTCAAGCGGGGTCATTGGTAGGCCATTTAATTTGGACTCATTCAGAACGACTGCCTTCCCTATTTCAATTATCATCCCCTTCTTTGCCATATTTTTCTAAGAGCTCAGGGGTTCAGTTAAAATTGAGTTTTTTTCCTAATCTGCCTCTTCTTACTACCGCGGGGTCAATTAGGTCGAAATTATTAGTGGCAATAATGATAATAGAATTAGGGTCCTGAGCCTCAGCGGCTAAGCCGGCTTTATCTTGGCTAGTAGAAAGAAAATTTTTATATTCTTCTAATAAATAATTCTTTTTACCTCCGGTCCCTCCCATCACATCCACTCCTTGATCGGCTTCTTCCACAAAAACTATGTAAGGTTCAGGGCTAAATTCGTCCCCAAAAACTTCTTTTTTATAATGTTTAATAATACTGATTAATTTCTGGTCCGGACTAGGTTGGTCGGTAATTCCCCCGGCAGATTTTAATTTTGCCCCTTTGACTTCAATTACGGGTGGGATTAGTTGGTTTTCTTCTATCTCGGTTATTTGTTTTTTAAGTTCAGTTAACTTTTGGATTTGCTCAGGAGTAGGGTCTTCTGTCTCTTTTACTTCTTCTTCTAATTCTCTAATTTGTTGTAGCAAATCTTTGGCTTCTTCACTGGCAAATTGCTGATATAAATGATGAACTAATTCATTAATAAATTCCGTTTTACCCGTGCCAGGAGCTCCATACAATACGGCATTGTTTCTTTTGAGTTGAGAAGAGTAAGGATCATTTTCCCCATCAGCAGCTAATT